AAGAGTACAAAAGTATAGTAAGTACTATCCAAAAATTAAGAATAGATTCAATGATTTATTTTTTGTAAAATCTTTAAACTCACCTTCTTCTTCTTCTACTACTGCTGTTCGAAACCATCTTTCATTTCGCTTCTCTGACCGAATCTCCTAGCGGTATTTACTCGGTGTTGCAGGTGTCAAAGATGGACTGTTTGGAAGACGGCGCAGTAGCCAAAGTAGAACTGAAGGTGGCGTGCATGGTGGTTCTGATGGTGCTGACGTTTCTGCTCAGTTGGTTGCCGTATGCCGCCCTGGCCATGCTTGTCGTCTACGACCCGGACGTGTACATTAACCCGCTGGTAGGCACCGTTCCTGTTTACCTGGCCAAGAGCAGCACCGTGTACAACCCTCTCATCTACATCTACTGCAATAAACAGGTATCGTGTTTAATGACACGCTATATTTACTACGTAAAATACTTCAGTCTATCTACTGATATGCTATGTGTCTGTAAACCCTAGTAAACATATATTTATTCTACCTATGTCGTGTAGCATTAGCACCATCTAGTGTTAATACAAGATATAAGTGCGTGTAACGGCGGGAAATCGTACATGACCGTTGAAACTTCTTTTTTAATACTTAAAGACACGTATTAAAAAGTTTAGCATAACTTTCGATGCTAATTTTATATTATTAGCTAATAAAAACCTTTTTCGGGGAAATTCTTCACTCATTTACGATGTAAATATGTCCGTTCTTTTTTGTCTGAAGTTCCGGAAATATGCCGTGCCCTTCCTGCTGTGTGGCAAAGAATTGTGGGAAGATGAAGTGTCCGAGGGAACGACCGTTATGACGGCTAACAACAGAGTTTCGCCCGCCTGAAACGGTTGTAACGCCATTAACATCAAACGTATACAAAAATAAAAGTTTTTTTTTTGTAACAGTAACAATTGTGCTACAATAAATACACAGATAATAAAAACCGTCCTAGTGCGTGCCTGTTTCCCAATACAAATAAATAAATGGCATCAATAATTCAGCATAAGTTTATTCAATGATGATCAATAGAAAATAAAGTATCAGTATTGATTTTAAATAAGGCCAAAATAAAATAAAAAATAAATTTATAAAAAAGTTTAAGGGAAATATATTAAAGCATTTGCTACTGAGAGAAATGATGTTTTCAGAATAAAAACATTGTGGAGCAGTTGTCATGTCTTTCAAGTAGAGAACGTCACCACGGGTCTTTCCATACTTCTGTACATAGTTTACATTATCATCTATTGAAACACCGTTCAGAACATTAATATTTAGTAATAATATAAACAACATTATTGAAGAAAACCAGGAGAACAGTTTGCAATGCAAATGAGAAATGTGTGTTTCTCTGTAAACCATATTTTACCACTGAATTTTTCTTAACCACCAACAAACATTTTCGACACTCGCTCGTTCCCAGCATTTAAAGGAGTAATGACGAATACAGAATCCACTAAAACCATACACACGGTCACAAAAGTACAAAATATTCTCACCATAATACACAAATCTGTTTAGAAAATAGGCAAAGAAAAAAAAGCACTGTACAGTTACTTGTGCAAAGACAAACAGCTATGTGCTAATATTTAAATACCATTGGTTTAAACTGAACCAAATCATTATAATATTCATATGTTTTGTTTTTTTTCCTCAGGAATCCCTGACATGAGGTAAAAGTAAGTCGTCTTTTTTTCTTTAGTTTAACACAACATTTTCAAGAGTTTTACAAAAATGATGCATATCCTCGGTTCGTCAGTACAGTAATTGCTACGAAGAGAACAATGTGCCTTTTTTGTGCATTGGTCCTTTTATGTGACAAGTCATCAACCAGGACTACAGCACTTTTTTTAAATTTTTTTTTAAACTCACAAACTATTCAAAAAGCCCTTTCAGTGTGCACACAAAATGGAAAACCTATATTTTTGCGACAGTATTCGGTTGCGTCAAATTACAGTACGCGCACGCGCTCACTTCTCCATCAACACACACTCGGAATAACACATCACCGTTGACCTTAAACATCCCTGGTGCTAGCCTTAAATCTAAGCACAACACGTCCACAGGCCCAGGTTAATTCTTTTTCAGTCTGTCTTCCGTTTTGTGACCAATCTAAACAATAGGAACACGAGCATCAGTGGCTTCTTTTTTTATGCATCCAGGTTTTCCCTTTTGGTATCAAAATAAAACTACAACAATAAAAAACAACAACAAAAAACGCTTGAGCCCCTGTTTTAAACCTCATCAAATTCTTTCAGTCGCCACAGTGGACAGACACAAACTGCAAGACAATGATATGTTGTCACTGGTGCCCAATGAGGTAAAGTGTACGCAGGAACCAGGCAGGCTGAGAGAGAAATGGGGAAGAGGAAGGAAGAGTTGGGTTTGTATTGCTTATCCTCTCTACAGCATTCTGACACCAGCAACAACGCTCCGCCCTTTCATCCACAGCACTTCAGATCATCACTGACCGTTCTTCTCCGGCCAACGTAGACGCTAAGCTCTCGCACACTGAGTGAAGACTTAAAATCCAACGTCACAGACAAATCCTTTTTTCTTTTTTTAAGCTAAGAGAAATATTAATTCCGTCTTTCTTTCAGCAGCAGTAAAAAGGCATTTCCTTTGGGGCGGATAAAACCTAAGCTTGACTCTGTGACCAACAACAACAACAACAACAACAACAAAAACCAGCATTAATTTCCTGTGCATGCACTGCACAAAATATGCAAACACATAAGTACGTTTGTCAGGTGTCTAAAAAAGAATTTTGTTCTTTTAAAGGGGATTTATGCAACTGCCGTTTGTTTTTCTTAAAGCGACACTTAGACTAGGCTTACAAATCAAAATTCTCCTTTTTGCACAACTTGTGCAGAAGTGTTGTCTCTCTCTCACACACACACACACACACACACACGAGCAGAGCCTCTTATCAAGTTTCTAACGCGGAATAAACGGAAGCAGATCGGAAAAGAAACCAAAAGGCAAATTACACGTCGTACTTGATAAAATGCACATCTGCCTATGTAGCATAGTGGGTGTCAAAAGGGTTGAATATTGCTGATCATTTTAAGTGACACATAATTACAAAATATAGAATATCTCTTTACAAAGTGTCTGTTGTTATTTATTACAATTTTACAGCATATCAACTATCAAATGTTAATCAGAGTTTTCTAAAATTTAAAATACATGCCTCCTAGTGCATTTATCACAAATGCTTCAAAAGTACGTGTGTTTTTCAAGTTGTGAACGATGCTATGAGCAGGACAGTTACCTGTGGACTGAGCTGTAGTATTCATTTAACGAAGACTCGGAGCCGGAGCGGGGTGGGGGGGGCTATGCCTTTTCTACGCTTGCATTGAAAACTTGCATGATATGCCACGAACCTTGATATAAAGTGACCGAGGTAATGACATCATTCTTCTGATTGTCATCACCTTTTGAAAACCACCCACTTCTACGTACTCCTCACACCTCTTGTCTTTAACTGCTTGTCTCTGATTGGCTGTTTTCCTGCACGTGTTAACTCCAGGTGGAGAGCGACTGAACCAATGGGACGGATGTGTCTCTCTTCCATTTGCCTTTTCTCTTCAAGGTTAAAGGCACTTCTTATGGTTGGAGCCAACAAATGCATTACTTATTATTTGAAATAGGTTTAAGTCAGAAATATTCGCAGATTCCTTCGACCGCTGCTATAAAGTCGTGATGCAGATCATCTCGTCTGCCAGGTCCTCCTCGTAAGGAGCTCTGACTTCTGTCTCTGGCTCCTCGTCGCTGTAGCTGACCGCAGCAGTGTCCTGCAGCTCGTAGTCTCTGGGAGTCAACAGAGGAAACACGTTGAGCCCGTTGCCGCCCCGGGTCACCCCTCCGTTCAGCAGTTGACTGGCCGCACTCTCCATCTCGTCTATCGTCATGTCGCACGCGTCGGCTATTTCGTGCTTGGTTGCGGCGACAAATTTGGGATCCTTGGCAAATCTTCCAAGACCCTCAGATATCAACACCTGCCAAAACACCACAAGATAAAAAATGTGGAATTTTTGTCGACTAGTTTTGCTTGAAAGTCTACTATCGAATTATTTCTGTCACGATTGACCATTAAAAAATACACAGTATATCTGTGTTGGAGGTGTTGGATGAATACTTTTCAAAAATAAAAAAAATAAAATCTTTGCTTGCTAAATAAAGGTTCCAGTGAATTAATACAATTAAATATTATAAAATATTAAATATAATAAATGAAATTATTTTAGTCTTAACTGCATTTCAAAAAATGTAAAAACTCACATTCCTACATTTAGGTTTTGTAAAAAATAAATCTTAAAGGATCCTAGGAACTCACCGCCTCCACCAGGCTGGTGGCGCTGCCTCTTTTCTGGTAGTACTGGTTGTAGTACTCAGGTGGCACCTGCAGGTGGACCGGTGAGTACATCTTCTGGGAGAACTCCGGGTCGTCCGTGTACCACGAGCTCTTCCTCACAGACACTTGGCTGCTGGCGGCGCTCTCCCTCTGCGGGTGGTCCACTCGTATGAGGGGGGTGTAGTACGGCGACTGGTCTTTACTGGCCGGGGTGGCGGGAGGAGTCGCCCAGGAGCGGGTGGAGCGGGTCGGGGAGAGGCGGTGGGCTCTGCTGGAGTCCAGGCCCGCTACAGCCATGACCTGAAAGAGCGTGACACGACACCGGCGTTTTAATAATGACCTCCACCGGTCGGTGCAGAGGACGGACTGCGGACCACGGTTTTGTTACCTGGTGCTGCATGAGGTGCAGCGGCAGAGCGGTCCGCTGATGTGGAAGCTCGTCCTGGCTGCTCTGTCTGCGCAGACACTCGAAGTTGAAGGACGGCCTCCTGTTACCTGGAAAAGAAGTCAGTGGATCAGTGGGTGTGAAAAATAATTTATCATACGATTATTTTATTTTAGAGTTTCAAACTGATACTGTACATATGGATTAAACACCAACCTTGAGGCGTGGCAGGAAGCATCCGTCTCTTCGGTGACCTCCGTGAGTCCCTGTACAGGGGCTGCTCATCGTCGTCGTAGTAACTGTCAGGGTGATGATAACCTTTAGGAGTCTCGTACTCAGCATCGCTGTTCGGATACCTGTCCACATGGTCAATAACGTAAAATATTCAGAGATAGATTTTTTTACTGTTCAAACTTCATGTTATATTCAGAGATAGATTTTTTTACTGTTTTGTTCAAACATCATGTCGGAAATTCCAGGTAAAGTAAAATATGTACAATAAAAAAATATATTTTTGTAACTATTTGTAACCTATTCAACAGACGCTGCCACAGACCGTACCTTTCTCCAGACAGCATGCTGTCATTTTCATAAAACTCCTCCCCGCTGTAATACTCCCCAGAGAGACGATCTTCATCAAACTCCTCCTCCCTCCGGATGGTTGGGAGGCGTCCATCTCCACCCTGGGACCTGAAAAAAAAGTGTAGTTATGTTGATAGGGTTACTCCTAACTTAGGATTTGGTTGACTGCCATGCACATAAAACGCTTTTAAAAAAAAAATCTCAACAGTCTGATCAAAGCAAGAACAACAATTTAAATCATGCACCGAGCAAAGCTGGTTTTAGCATTGTGCTAGCTACATGTAGAGGTCATAATTATCGCCCGGTAATTAGAAAAAATAAATAATTTGGGCATTGAAACTAGCAAATATTAAACTGAACAGCTCCTAGCACATGTTTAGCAGATTAGGGGTTCAACAACAATAAAATAAAACCGGTCCTATTGTTGTATCAGTCCTAAAAACAACAACATACCTAACATAGGTCTCATAGTAGCGCCTTCTGTCAGAGAAAGCAGAGGAAACAGGAAACAAAGACGGAGAGAAGAGAAGAGAGAAATAAATGAAGAAAAAAGTGCATCACACACTGTGTCGTAGTTTATATAGTGTGAATCATATATATATAAATATATATATATATGGTAGATGTGTCAGTTTAATGATTAGTGACCAGAACGGAATCATAAGATGTTTAATTAAGTAATTAAGTAAGAAGAGAGAGAGAACTGACCTATTTTTTTTACAGAACATATCAGCTATTCTTATATATTTACGGTCAAAAAACATGAGATAAAATCACCCTTGGAAGCTTTTTAGTACAAATAAAAAAAAACAAAAAACACACCTGGTCAGAGACGTCAGGACCAGAAGAACGGTTTTCGTACCTTTGACTCTGTGGAGTCCTGGACTTGTCGTAGTCGTGAGAGGTGTTGCGTAGACCTGGGTAACCATTGGGAGGCGCGTGATCGTAGTAGCAGTGGTGACCTCCGTTGGGCAGACTGGACACGTTGGCGTTGTTGAGGTTGATGTTTGTAGATTTCGGCGACTTGTTGTAGGAGTTGTGGTGTCGGTTGTGATGGTGGTGGTGGTGGTGGTGGCGATGGTGGTTGGGTTGGGACATGGCGTTGGCTCGAGACAGGCGTCCCACCGGCTCCTCCATGTGGGCGTAGTGAGGCGGGGGCTGCACCTGCAGGGGTCGCTGCGTGGCGTTGGTCTGGTGGCCGTTGGAGCTCGGATGGCCGCCGTTCATGAGGTGGTTCCCGAAGAGTCCGCCGTTGCGCTGTGAAGAAACACTCAAAGTAAAAGCCACCTCAGCTGTAACGGAGTCACATGGCAGTAAAACAGCTGTGCTGATGTTAAGTCTATGAGATGGGTTTCTCTCCAGAACCATGGGGGAAAAAAAAAACAAAAACAAAAACTAAAATATGCTCTAGGGGGCAGGTTTCATGGTTAATGAGCAACGTAAATGTCAACTCTGTAGCTTGGTGGGAGTGAAATAGTGACAAATGCTAAGAACACTAATCAACTCAAAACAGGTGAGGGTTAAAAACCCCATGTTCAGAAAAGCTGGTACACACGTCTAAAGAGGCCATGGAAACTGACTTCAGTCGTGATAGTGAGCTAAAAAAAAGGAGGAGCATCCACCAAAGGCTAGGTTTCTACCAGGAGGATGGATCTTGGATCTTATAATTAAGTTCAACTGAAGTGATATAAAATACAACTGTTTCATGAGCCACTTCAGTGAATCACTGTTGTTTAGTAGATTAGAAACAATATTTTCTGCTGTTCTACTCTACTGTTCACGCTAAAGATAAATTTTTTTTAAAAAATTCACAATGTTATTGGTACAAAACCTCAATGGCTTTTAAGGTCTTCATAAATGTAATCGGTTATAACGGTGGTTCTCAAAGTGGGGGGCGCACCCCCCCTTAAGAGGAATTACACTGTTTAGTTAAAGATTATTGACGTTTTAAAGGAAAAGCTCAGCAAATCATAACCGGTTGCGTACCAACTTTTCTGGAAATATGGTTTGTAGCTGTGTAGTGTAGCAGTGAGTAACATTCCCTCTTTTTTTTTTTTTTTTTTAAATCAAACATCACTTTAAGTTTGCTAAAAAAAAAAAAAAAAACAGAAATTTTCCCCCTCTGGGGTAAAACAGAAGGTTAAATTACCCTATAAATTTCCTCGTCTTCCTCGGGAATAAAGTCTACAAGCTCGTCATCTTGCAGGTCACATGATATCGCTCGGCGTATTTCAGGCCCAATATCATGCAGCGTGCGGAGGCCAGCCTGGAACCATGACAATAGAAGGGCTAAGCCTTACAGTTAGAGTTGGACATTTATCCATCAGCTCACACTCACACACACACACATACACACACACACACACACAGCTGTGCGTCAGGATGTAACACCTGACGTTTACTCTGCCGACAAACTATGAGAGATGACAACACACAGACAGACAAATGTTCTGTCTCCGATGCGACCTGCAGTGAATATTTCTGAGCTGTAGGGGGCGCCAGCTGGACTCCCTCTCATGTACGCCTCAGTGTGTGTGTGTGGAGTAAAAAAAATACATTCACATCACTGGCAGGTGGTGAAAAAAAAAGCAACAAAATCAGCACAAAATTCAGAAAAGTTTTTTTTGTTTTGTTTTTCCGTCTAACAGAGATATATGTCTTTTTTTTTTACACTGAGACCATATATCACAGGATATAACTGTAATAAGCATCGCTCGTGTACGTCATGGGTGAGATCGTGGAATACGTGAAATGATGAGCGGATGTAGCGGATGACACACGCTTAACATCAACGTTTATGAAAAGACAGAGAGACACAAATAATTCCACACCTGCTGAGTCAAAGACGACAACATGAACGACACGTACGGAGACACAACGTCTTTAACCAAACCAGTCAATCAGAGTGTGGACGGTGTGGTACCGTGACTCACCTGCAGGGCGATGGCCGTGTTGTTCTGTGAGGGGTGAGCGCCCACCAGGCCGTCCTCCTTACGTTTCTTGAATTTCCTAAAGTAGTCCTGTATCAGGAAGGTGGCATAGAACTTCCCCACGGTTACCTCATCATCTGAGTGAACAGACCACACAAACGCTTCCAGGGTCAACAGGTCATTTTGTCTAAGGATCTGTGGGAGAAGGAGCAGCAGGAGGAGCAGCAGGAGGAGGAGGAGGAGGAGGAGGAGGAGGGAACTCCTCTCCTTCCTCGTGTTCGCTCTCTACTCTACTCACAGCCTCAGGACTGCAGAGCAGTGATGCTGTGGAACCGTATACATCCATCTTGATGGTGTATATACTGTACCTTCACTGTTGTTCAGAAAGAACGGGAAATCAAAGATGGCGGCTTTAGTCTCTGCAGTCTGTGGGAATCTTTTTAAACATTTGTTTAATAAGTTAACTGCAAAAAAAAAAAAAACTTCGACTTCTGTCTGTGGCCCTTGAAAGGTTTTTGATAATTATAAGAAATTATGTAAACAATGTTTAATGTAGACACTTAAAGGGACATGTTAACATTTAACAGGATAGACAGTACGGAGTCATAGACCTGATATAAGAAACGGCTCTAACCATCTGGTTAAAACACTAAGCTCATTCAGAAAGACATTCTGACACTTTTGAACTGGAAAGTCAGACTGTAAATATATAAACTTTGGTCCATAAGGAAGGTCTAAACCGCTAATCCTCACAAACTAGCTTTTTTCTGACACTTTTGAACTGGAAAGTCAGATTGTAAATATATAAACTTTGGTCCATAAAGAAGGTCTGAACTGCTAATCATCACATATATCAACTAAATGAAATACGGCCATTCAACTCTGTGCTTGTTTTTCCCTCTAATAGCTTTTGTCTGTTAATAATTAATATTAATTTCATTAATTATTAAATAATAAAAAATATTTTAACACCCACATGGTCAGTCCAGTCAACCCACTCTCCTTTCTACATATTTTAACACCCACATGGTCAGTCCAATCAACTCACTCTCCTTTCTACATAATGTCTTTACAGTGGGAGGAAACAGGAAAACACGCAAAACAACAGACGATACACAGATCGAGTCTGCCATCTGGTGGTGTTTTCACTGTAATGCAACTACACTAACCTCATCTTCACTGCGGACCATTATTCGGTCAATGTAATCATCAAAATTAACGCACATTAAAAATATCTTGACAACCAGTCAAGTCGCCCCCTGGTGGTCATCCGCTTCATCCTGACTACTTTGTCAGATCAGCTTTTCCAGCCAGATGGCTATGTCCATTTCTTATAAACACTGTGGTCTATGAAAACAGAGACTCCTCCTTATTCAGTTTTAACTTTCTTATTTACTACGTTGGTTTTTTATCCTACTTGTGAGTGAAAAGATTTTTTTTTTTGTTTTAGGTAGGAAAAAGTCTTTTCACATTCCTACAGCTACTTACAGTAGGCACATGCAGGCAAGCAGATCTACATCATACAGACTGTATAGGTGAGCTGATGTCATCCACCTGTTTATGCTCAGGTATATAAACCCTTATTGGCATGTTTTGACCTTTTGTCTCATAAATATATATTTTTTTATAGAGAATCATTCTGAAGCAGGGGTCTGAATCACTTTGGACAAGCACGCTGGGGACAGAGATCGGAGAGACAGAGGCAACACCAGTTCCATGCCACCACCCTAAAACAGAACTGCTTCAGAATATTCTGAAGTGTTTCAGAGTTTTTGGACACAGAGATACACTATAGATGTGAGAGAAGGAGGAGACGTGGAAGCTCCGGCAGAGAGAGAGAGGAGGGACAGGAATAAAACAGAGACAAGAGACACAGAGAGAGAAACAGGACAGGACATGCAGTCGTCTACAAGGCCATGCAAGCCCGAAGCCCAGCAGACGGTCGGTGGTCTTCATCAGCATCCAGGGCAGGAGGGGAGGGTCAGACTCACACACACACAGATAAGAAACACACTAACCAGTAGAACGTGAGCAGAAACAACACGATACGGACGGATTAGATCAGGGGGTGTCAAAGGAACGGCCGAGTGTTTTCCCCTTTTGTTTTCATGCAAACAAGTACAAATATATTAGAAAAATATATATATATAATGAAATAGTTGACAAAACATCACTGACATGCAGTGTTCCTTCATCAAGCGGGCCGTATTGAACCCCCGAGCGGGCCGGTTTGGGCCTGCGGACCGTATGTTTGACACCCCCAGATTAGAACATCTGGATCTGAATGTGTGTGTTTCTTTAAAGTGTACTTATATATGATTTCATTAACAGGTGCAGGCTGATGCCACTGACCGCCAGCTGGGGGCACCACTTGATCCAGGAGCTTCATACTGGTTCTCTTCCAGATTTTCTTGATGACGGCTCGCAGCTCTTCGTTGGCCTGCTCTAGATTACCTACGTCACATGAAGAGAGAAAAAAAAAAGAAAGCCTCAGCGCTCAGTTTCACTCCGACAAACTTATCATCAACATACGTGTTGTTTTTTTTTGTTTTTTTTGTCCTCAGCGCTCAGTTTCACTCCGACAAACGTATCACCGACATACGTGTTGTTTTTTTTTTGTTGTGGACGTTGGTCTCACACCTTCAGTTTTGATCTTCAGGGCCGTTCGCACAAGTGCAAACAGGGTGGCGTTAAACATGACTGTTCCGTCGCTGTTCAGGGGCATGTTCATGGCCACCAGCCTCTGAGAGGAGACAGAAAAATATTCACCTTCAACCCCAGGTCCACAGGTCAGATATACATGTTTCTGGACACGTTGAATGTCTTGTGTTTCCCAAACCTTGCAGGCCACTCTGTGAGGACAGAGTTTTCCAAAGCCAAGAGGAGGCTGAATACGTCGCAGGAGGGTCACAACATCCAGGTGTTTGATTCTGCCTCTGTGGGGGTAAAAAAAAATCAGTCTCAACGAGAGACAGGGAGGAAGAAAAGACCAAAAACATTTAAGTAAAAAAAAAAAATCAGTCTCAATGAGAGACAGGGAGGAAGAAAAGAACAAAAACATTTAAGTAAAAAAAAAAATCACATACTTGGCTTCCGGATCATACTCTGACCAAATTCTTTTAAACTCATCAAGGTGGTGAGGACCGAGAATGGACCAATCACGGGTCAAATAATCAAAGTTGTCCATGATGACGGCAACAAACAAATTAATGATCTGTAAAAAGACAAAAAAATGACCTTGACAATTGGATTTGATCCGTAATGAATCGTGTCAGACACAAAAACGATGTTCTTATAATCATCATGTATACCAGTGGTTCTCAAACTATGGTGCCCGTACCATGGGTGGCACATGGGCGTCCTTATACTTGACTACTATTTATTTACATTATTGTTTACTGATAATGTAAATTAAAAAAATGTCAAAATGCTTCGTACCAAGAAGGCGCAGAGCATGTAGAAGGTGATAAAATAAATAACGGCAAATCCACTGCCGCAGGTCATCTCCTCCCCTGGATGGTAGTCAGACTCGGGGTCACACAGTTTCCCCGGCATACAGGCCAACATGATGTCCTGCCACGCCTCCCCAGTGGCACACCTGGACGGATGGAGGAGAAAAGACCAGGAAAGGTCGGACCATCACATCAAAAACCAACGTTAAAATCACGTCACATTAAAGAAGTACTTCTCAAGTAGTGGGGCGGGGCCCCGAAAGGTACACTGAACATAAGTGTACCACTGCTGTGATGCTTTAAATGATAACAAGCCTCCAGTCACTAGGTGGCAGCAACTCTTTGTACAGATAAAAGTATACATGTTATCAGGTTCTCAATAGTATTTCAATTCGCGGGGTGTGAAAAACATTTCTGTCCCCCAGGGGGCGAACCACTGCATTAAAGTCACTGGTTCCACTTTTTTAACGTCATGCTATTAGTATTTCAATTCGCGGGGGTGTGAAAAACATTTCTGTCCCCATGGGGGCGAACCACTGAACTCAATTGCCTGATGAGGGCGCTATCGTCACCGCTGACGACATAAACACAAGGTGAACTGGCCTGAAAAGAAGCAGCACGGCCTGAGGGAAGGTCTGGAAGTTGTTGTTTCTGTTGATCTGTGATCCATCCACCATGGCAATCTTCCCAAAAACCTGCAGTAAAAACCAAGAGCACAACACTGCAGCACAAGGTTGAAAACACAAATAAATAATAATAAAATAAATAAAAAAAGACAGTCACTCACCTGCATGCCGATCACAGCGTAGATGAAGAACAACATGGCTATCAGCAGAGCAACGTACGGCAGAGCCTTGGTGGAGACAAGAACAGCGGTAAGAGTGAATACTGCAGGGTTTGTTTGTTTTTTCTCTGATAGATGGCGCTGTTTCTCACTTGGAAGGATTTGATGAAAGTCCAAAGCAGCGTGCGGATGCCCTCCCCTCTGCTGAGGAGCTTCACCAACCGCATGACACGGAACAGACGAAAGAAGGTGATGGAGATGCGGGCGCTGTCCTCCGTGTTCTGAGGAGAAGCAGCGACAAGTCAGGAGGAGAAAAAAAAATAAAAATCTCCACGATGGATGGAGGCACACAGAGAACCTGGCTGTGCTTTAAAGGATGATGAGGACTGAACTGCGACCTCAGGACCAGATACATACTGGCTGGGAGAGCAACACTGTCGTCTGTGGCCGAAAAGACTTTGGACGCGATTTTTCCTGATGCAATGTACATCAGAGTTTTTGGTGGAAACACGGACAGTGTCACCGCAGCAGATATGTATGTGGTCGTCTGCATCCAAAGCAACGTCAGGAGCTTTGTCAGTTTACAGACCCTACAGGGGAAGAAGCAAAGAGGCAGGCATGCTGGAGGAAAAACCTTGCCATACTTGACAGGACACGTCTGCACAAGCATGGCACCCTCAGTCCAGAGTCACTGCATGCGGAGTCACAGTGGGGCCGACCCGATCAGGTCGGCCAGGAGGTTCAAAGGTCAGAGCTGGGTGATCTGATCCCAGAGGGTATAACCGTGGGGTCAACTATCCCACTACAGAGACCATGTGGTCGTGTCAGCAGCACAAACGTGGAGAGCAGCGGCCCCAGACCGCTCCCACGTGACAGGACGTACAGCGTCACGTTTGAAGGGACACGCGCTCTCCTTAGAAATTAGTCCAAACATTTAGGAAACACGGAGGAGAAATTATGCAAATGAACAAACAGAAAGAAAAGAAAAAGAAAAAAAAAAACAAATGGGAAAAAAAATCAAATCAAATCCCCAATCGTAAAATAGAGAGAGAAAAAAAAATTTCATAGAGAAATATGAAGACAACTGAAGTCAGCAGTAGTTAATAGGATGCAAAAAGGAAAGGTAACAAACAATGCAACTCTAAAGATGGCATGACCCTGACAGGAGGAGGGGGGGGGGGGGGGG